GAGGAAGAAATAAAGGAGAGAAGAAAGCACAGAAAGTAAAAGAGAAAAAAGAGGAAATCAGCAAGAGATAAGATATATATATGCATATATATGTATATATGTATATGTATATATTTAGATTTCCCCCCTTATTTTCCCTCCATGTTCTAGTGATGCCTAATAGAAGGCGGAGGTGGGCGAGGCCTCGTTACCATGGGATGTGGTGCTGATCTGGGCTCTGGAGCAGGGCTATGAGAGGAAATTGTTCTTCAGATCAGCAAACCCTTTCAGGTCCCTGCAGGCCTGTAGAGTGGAGTCTGCGGGCAGCGCTAAGCAGGCGGGTGATGCCCCACAGGGCGAGACTCCTGCACCGTCAGGGAAAGACTGGGGCTGCAAGGGGTGTTGAGAGGCACATGCTGCAATGCCCGCCTCCTATGCCAGCTGGAGAGGGCTGGGGCAGGCCTGGAGCTGGCACTGGGAATCCCGCGGGGTACTGGAATGATAGGCGCGGGCAGAGCACACAGACAGCTCCGGCGGGGGCCGAAAAGCCGTTTCACAGGCTCCCTAGCCAGTGGACGGGTGTTTATTGCTAGAGGCGCCGGCCCCGTGAGTGGCGCAGGCTCCATAGCGATGTGGTCCGCGCCGGATCGGACAATGGTGGCTCTGGCAGGAAGCAGCCGGCAATGGCGACCATGCTCCGCCCTGCGGGGAGCGCACCACGCAGCAGGCTCTGAGCTGCTGGGCACACAAAATCCCTCAGCACCCCAGGGAAGGCAAGAAACCTGCCGCCAGCGCGTCCGGTGGGCAGGAGCACCCACTGTTCCACGACAGGCGGGTTTAGCGCTCTGCTGGGGCTCCTGCAGAGACGCAGCACCACGGAGAGAAGCAGGCTTGGCACCAGCGGGAAGTGCACGGCTCCGCTTCCCTGGCCGAGAATGGAGTGGGAGATAGGATGAAGGGAGCGGGCTGCCGGACAACGGGGTGTTGGTGGAGAGGGCCCAGGCAGCAGTGGGGGTGGATGGTCCCTCGTGAGGGTCGCCAAGGTCGCTCAGGCAGCCCCTGGTATATTGCAGGTCAGCCACCCGGGGCTTGGATGGAGGGAGGGAAGGACGCAGGCCCAGGGGCAGATCTCTGCCACGTGGGTAGAGGGGACCCGTGGGAAGGAGAAGCTACTCTCCTAGTGGGGTCCTGCGAGTGGGCAGCTGCTGACAGGGGTCCCGCCACCACCTGTCTCGGCAGAGCAGGCAAGCGCCTCTGTGTGCGGGGTCCCGGTCTGGGGATGGAGTGGGGCTAGAGCGAGTCCAGGTCATGATGGCAGGGGCTTAGTGACCCGTGATGTCCCACAAATCGGGGCCTGGATCACCGAGGCCCCAGCTCAGGACAAATGTGTGGGGTGAGGGTGGGGTGCTGGCCCGGGGGGATATTTCACTCACCAGACTCCTACCACTCAACTACTGGACACCAAACACAGCCTTGTTAGAGAGAGCTCTCAATGTAAGTGGGTCCCCTGGTCCGCCATCTTCCCGCGAGGCCAGAAAAAGTCTCCTTTCTAACCTCAGTCATGGCCTCACTCAACAAGCTTCCTGGCATCCGAGGAAAATGAGGAGGAGGAACTATCTCAGGGTCCACAAAAACCAGGGCCGGGCTCTCATCTGTCTGGTTGTTCACTGCCATGGCCCTGGGCCAAGAACAATATCTATAATAGGTGCTCAGGAAATATTTATTTAAAATAGATGAACGTCCAAGTAGAGTTTCTAATCAGAAAGATTTGAAAATCCTAGATAATACCTAAGAGAATATGAACTCTTAATTGTTATTAAAATCTCCAGGGGTTGAGTTTATGCTGATGGTGGTAGAGGAATTTGGAAAAGGAGAGAGAGAATGATTGCACCATTCAAAGAATATTACCAAAGCCATTAAACTGTACGCGTAGATACTGTTGAGTTGGTGTACACATTGTTTTAAATAATCCAACCACAACCACAATTTTTTTAAAAACTAAGAAATTGCATAAACCGATATGCCCTTCATTTCATGGCATCTGTAAAGACGAAATGTGTGCAGGTTTAAAACACCAGATGGAACTGTGACTAGAACCGTCTACAAATAAAGGAATTAGAAATAAATTCAGCCACTGCTGAACTTCAAATCAACAGAAGCAATTTCTTGCAATATTCCAGGTGTGAACTCATTTAAAATGCTATCGGCCACTATGGGGACTAAATTGAGCGAACGCTTGCCGTACACCATCAGGAGCCCTCGGATCCTATTTTCATTGTGTGTTAGTTTAGGAACCTCTGGAAAATAAGAAGCCATTACAGAATGAGATTAGAGAAATTCCTATGAAGGGGAAAGGGGCAAGGAGAGAGGTAGGAACAGGTAGGGCAGGGATGGTCCTTCAGACAGTAATGCTACGGGTGAATACCTGCGAAAAGAGATGGAGAGGGAAGGAGGACTGAGCAGAAAGAATCTGAGTCAGCACAGATTACCAGGGAGCCCTGAAGCCAAAGGTCTTGGTAGAGGGCCTCCCACCCCACGGGGCTAGGTCGGCATGAGTATCCCCTTGCCTTCAGACATGGGCTGGGAGATGTACTGAGAGTGTGGTTCCCGCACAAGCCTGCTGGCAAGCCCCAGGAGCAGCATCGGGCTCTCAGTCAGAGATGCTCCCTGTGGCAGGAGTTCCCCCTGCACATGCCCGGAACTGTCACTCGTTATGTCCCAAACAGCACTGCTGCTGGAACCACTTGTGTTACTGTGCCTCCAGTCTGGCTCTGGCAGCTGCACACCGGGCACCAACAACAGATCTGCCACCACCTCGCTCCTAGTTTCTGAAGTGTTAGAACTTTCCAGGGCTACTAGGCAAGATAATGAGGAACCGGGTGATGCAGTAGGTCAGTGGTTCTCAACCTGCCTCATGCCGCAACCCTTTCATACAGTCCCTCATGTGGTGGTGAGCCCAACCTTAAAATTATTTTCGTTGCTTGTTCGTCACTGTCATTTTGTTACTGTTATGAATCAGGCAACCCCTGTGAAAGAGTCGTTCATCCCCAAAGGGGTCACGGCCCACAGGTTGAGAACCATTGCAGTAGGCTTCTCAGAGGACTGCTAAACATAAGGTCAACAAGGTAAACCCACCAGCCACTCCACCAGAGGGAGATGACTCTGTCTGTTCCCATAAAGATTACAGGCTCCAAAACCCTAAGAGCCACCCCCCACCCCATCCTTTAGGGCTGCTGGGAGTCGGAATGGACACGATGACAGTGTATGGTCAAGATAACCTGAGCTCAGAGAACCTCAGTCAACAAAAAAGCTTTTATTTAGAAAACAGAAGTCTGTTCTTTGTATTGGGATGCTTCCCAAGAATCAAGCCCTTCCAAGGGTTGGCTGCGTGGAGACACTGACAAGGGGGAATTTGGTCACCACTGTCCAAAGTAAACTCTTTACAGGGTTAGACTCTGCCTCCTTCATACTACTATTGTTGATCAATCGGTGCATATCGTTTTGATCTAGATGCCATCCAAGGGGAGCCAGGGTTGAGCCAAGTTGACCTTAACTCATACCCAAATGGAACAACTTCCGTAGAAAGGCTGGTCCTCCCCAGTAGCCCCTGGAAGAAATGACACAGAAAAAACATATTTGCATTTGCAGGAGATGGGGTGACTTCAACCAGCAAGAGGTTAACAAGGAAGTCGGGCTGCTCACAGAACAGGCTTAGCAACACACAAATCAAGATCTGTCTACTGAGACAGAGAGAGCCCGTGACTCGGAGGGATGGCCTTGGCCTCTCCAAGCTGTAGCTTTAGCACTGATTTGCTGTGTGAGCCCACACTCTCTGGTTCAATCCAGCAAGCAGGTGTGGAGCCTGCACCACAAATCAATGCTCTGCTTTCATGGGCTCCATGAGTGTAAGTTAGGATTTCTCAATCTTGGCCCCATTGACATTTGGGGTGGATATTTCTTTGTTTGAGGGGCACGACTGTGCATTGTAAATGCTTTGGCAGCATCCTTGGACCCTGCTTACCAGATGTCAAATGTACCCCCCATAGTGGTGTGTGGGAAACAGAAAGATGTCTCCCCCACATATATGTTAGACTTAGGACACTGCTTGCAGCTAATGGTAAATGATTGTCAAGTTAACACCCTGAAGGCAGTCAGTTACCAGATTACTGTCTGGTCCTACCACAGGTAGGCCCGACTGCCTGCTGCTAAGGACAATGGGCTACTTCTCCCTAAAGGCTTGCAGCCATTAGTCTGGTCCCTGAGATGAGGTTTACACCCTACTGATTGATAATGGTTTCTATAGTGAGCCGAGAACAGGTCAAACCGGCTCAGTGACATCCAAAGTTAGGTTGCCATCCTGAATCCACATCTTGTCACATGTGTACCCCCATTACCTCCCCTTCCAATTACGTGGATACCCCTAGATCACGCCCCTCCCATGACTGTATTACCTATAGCACAACCCTTTCCTGTGACGTATGTTCTCACCTGTAATTAGGGGGCTTGCACGTCCCAAGAGAATATATAAGCCTTGGTTAGCAATAAAGATCTCTATCTCTCTCCACGTGGACCACCAAGTGAGGCTGAGATGAGAATGCTACCATGAAATGTGTCTGACTCCATTATTTCAATCTCTCTTGTATCTCTCATGCTCTCTATGACTTTACTATAATCTTTACTAATTATCGCTGTACAATTGCCCCTACCAGACCCATGATGATGTGTTAGGGATTGGTCAACCCTGCTAGTGGTGACAACTAAAAATATCTCTAGACACCACCAAATATTCCCTGGGGATAAAATCCCCCCCCAACA